ACACACACACACAACACAACACACGAACACACACACACACACACACACACACACACACACGAACACACACACAGAAACACACGAACACACACAGACACACACACAAACACACACGAGCACACACGCACAGCACCACGGCCGCACCGAGCAAGATGTTGTCGAGATGGCGATCGCCGAGACCAATAATGTATCCGACCATGGACATGACGGCAAGGCTGACAATGTACTGCTGCGTCATGTTCAGCCACTCCGCGCTGTTGCTTGATGCCAGAAGCAACTCGCTGGAGGTGGTGACGAGTCGATATCATGCGAAACGAGCATGAGAGGCGCGGTGGAAAGTGGAAAAGTGGAACCAGCGCTCACATCCAAGCACAGAAAAATCACACGCGCACGCGCAGGCTAAACACCAACAAACACACACCTCCCCCTCCACACACACACACACACACACACACACACACACACACACACACACACACACACACACACACACACACACACACACACACACACACACATCCCCCCCCCCCAAGCACCCCCCCCCCACACACACACACACATACACACCTTGAGATGAGGTCGGCTGGCGTCTCGCGGACGAGCTGCATGTGTGCATGTCGGAGGGCGTCAATCGGCCACTGCGACCGGCGGGACAGGTCTGCTTCGCCAACACCGCACTTGCGCAACAGCGGTGTGAGTCGCGCAAAGAACAGAGACGTCGCCGACTGTGGCGGATTCGGAGGTGCAGGCAGCGGTGCTGTGTCATGTTGCTCTCGCTGCTGTTGCTGCTGCCGGCCGCGCGGCTGCTGCTGCTGTTGTTGTTGTTGTTGTCGTCGTGCACGTAACTGCTGCTCGTAGTGTGCGCGGGCAAGGGTGTACGACCGCTGCTGCCACTGCTTGTACAGGTCCAGCACAGGGCGGGCGCCCGTCACCCACTGGATCAGGCCAGACCGCGGGCCGAGCGGCGTCACGTGGTAGTTGCGGCAGTGCAGACGCGCCGCTGTTGTCGTGGCCTTGGGGGCGTTGTTGCGGAAGATGATGTTGACAACGTCGAGAAATTGCATAATGCGCTCGTCAAGGTGCAGGTCTTCGAGGCCCTTGAACAGATACGTGTACGTGCGCCCATCCGAGCCCTGAATGCGGATCTTTTTCGGCCTTGTCTTCGTCGGCAGAACCGTCACCTTCGCCTGGCAACACAGAGAGGAGAGAGTAAGTGTGAGTGAGTGAGTGAGTGAGTGAGTGGCATGAACCGGTAAAGGGCACAGGGATACCTGACATTATAGAGCTGAACAGTGTTTGGCAAAACGTATATTCACACACGCACACACATAACAAATCCACGAAACACAAACGCAAACACAAACAACCAACAACCAACACATGTGCATGCACACACAGCACACTGTCACGCACACGCACACACGTGCATACCTGGAACCTGTCGATGCGGGCGACGTCGGCCTGGTTGTACGATTGCAAGAGTCCCGGGAGGGCAATACCCGTGCCTGTCTTGCCTGCAAGCAAGGGCGAAATGTCCTGCAGCTTGAGCGTTGTGCGTGAAAGCACGGCTCGCTTCATCTCCTCAGCCAACGTGTGGAAGGGTGCGCATGCCTTGGCTGCCGTGTACGTATCACGGGAGAGCACCGGCGTGTCAAGCTGGCTCATGGTGAGCTCAATGATGCCGCGAAACCGCTTCACAAACTCGCGCTCGTGCTGCGTTTCCGGCCCGCGTGCAATCGTCTCATCATACAGCTTCTGCATTGCAGACACCACAGGCAGCAGCGTCAGGCGGTGGTTGTCCACCAGCAGCCTGTCCTTCTTCTTCGCCTCCAGATCACTGTTCGCCATGAGACGCTCGTGCATGCTGGAGAGCGACTGCATGCAACGGCTCACCCTGCCTTGCTGGTGGTGCAGCAGCTGCCACCACCGCTCTTCCCAAAGCACCGTGATGCGCTGCAACTCTGCGATGACGCCCTCCAACTCACGCACAACGTCCCCGCTGTGCTCCAGCAGCGACCGCCGAATGACCGCATGTGGGTTGGCGTCCTCGTCCACACCCACCCCTGCACCGGCCTGGCTGTGGTCACCGCTCTCGCCCTTGCTGGTGTCACTGTTATCACCAGCAGTACCGGTGGTGCGGGTGTTGGCGGCGGTGGCTGTTGCCTCCGTCTCCGCCTCCGCCTTTCCATCGCTCTGCTGCGGCGCGGCGTCCACGACAGCCGCGTACAGCACGAGGTGCGGGGCAGTCCGCCCGATGCGACACAGCAGCGATGTCAGTGTTTGCCGAACAAAGCGTGATGGTGAGCCAAGGCGCGAAAACAGCTGGGGCACAACCGCCTGCCACGGCTGGACCGGCGTCTGCGCAAAGCCGTGCGCGAGCACGGGCTGCAGGTCCACCCAAAAGCGGGAAAGGAGACGCAGGAGGCGCAGCGTCGCTGTGAGCGTGACGTCGTCCATATTGGCGTCGCTTGTCGCGTCCAGCACTCCCGTTGATCCGCTTATTTTCAGCTGCAGGTACTGGAAGTAGGACGCTGCGGCCGCCTTGTACAGGTGCGTGACGCGCGTGTGGATGCGCTGCCACAGGTCCACCAACGCCTGCACAAGCTGCGGCGGCGGCTTGTGGATTGCCTCAAGCAGCCGTGCCTGCACAGAAGCAAGGACACTGGTCCGTGTCGCCTCTCCCTCGCCTTCGCTGATGGAGTCGTCGCGAACGTGGCCCATCATGAGCGCATCAAGGACGGCGGGTGTGGGGTCGAACCCGCTGTGGCGGGTGTGCTCGTACCGCTGCAGCGCGTCAATGTGCGGCTGCAGCAGCGACACGGCCATCGCGTGCTCCTCGGCCGTCAGCGCAATGCGATGCTGCTGCTCCTTGCCAGCGCGTGCCGCTGCCGCTGATGCTGCCAGTGAGGCGTGCTGGGTGGAAGATGCTGCTTGTGCCGCCAAGCTGCTGTCAAGCGTGACGGGGGCAGTCGTGGTGGTCGTGGGCGTCGCTGGCGCTGACGCACCGGAGGGATCCGTACGCTCCAACGCCTCAACACCGCGCGCGTAGCACCAACCAGCAAACACCGCCCGCGCCTTCGCGAAGCCTGGTTGCAGCTGAAGCGCGAGGTGGACCGCACGTCCAGCAAGCAGCGTCAGCCCACGGCGGGATGCTGATGATGATGACGACGACGACGACAGAGAAGACGGTGGGGACAGAGATGATGGGTCCAGCATGGCAGTGACATCGTGGCGAATCGGAAACACGCCAGCAGACAACAATGACGATGACGATGACGATGACGAGGCTGATGCTGGTGCTGATGACACTGCTGACCGCGTTGATGGCGCTGTGGCGGCTGCATGCTGGTTCCACCCCGCTGCCTCATCTGACCAGCTCAAGAGCTGCTGGGCCATGTCAGGCGTCACGGCGCGCAGCACGTCATCATACGCCCGCTGCGACGCCATCGCCAACGAGGAAGGTGTGGACGTTGCTGAGGGTTCAAACCCAACAATGCGTGCGAAGCGCAGCAGCGCTCGACACAGCAGTGGCCCCTTTCCAAATTGCGCAACGCGCAGCATTGGGTGATTCCACAATGTGTCTTCGCTGGGCTGCTCGTGTTGGCGTTGAAACTCGTGTACATGCTGCTGCTGCTGCTGCTGCTGGTGGTGGTGGTCGGCGCGGCGTGTGCTGTGCACCCACTGCATGCCGTTTGAGATGACCTCCCACAAGCGTGACACGCCGTCCACATGCAGGCATTGCGCCTGCAGTACCTTTGAGCTCTCGTACGCCACATCCAGTGAGGCTGAGGGAGTAACCAGCCCCTGGTTGAGCAGACGCGCTGCCAGCCGCATGTTGCCCGTCTTGCGCGCCAGGCGGACGACTTGCATGCGAAGCGCGTCAACGCTCGACGAAGGGAGCTGGTCAGGCATCGTGGAAGAGAAGCGAGACGCGACACGGAGTAACCGCACCCACCCGCCAAAGGTCGGGCTGCGCGTGGGCTGACGACTCAGTGGTGAGAAGGCGTGCAGTGGGAAGCATGGCGCAGACGCACACACGTCCCCCTGCTGGTGGTGCTGCTGCTGCTGGTGTTGGTGTTGGTGTATCTGGCGAGCAGAGCATCGAAGCCCAGCCAACGTGGCTGAGACACATTGGCCGAGCATGGCAGCGTCCACTGCAGCCTGTTGGTTGGGGAAATTGCGGAGGAGGAGGAAGATGTGAGACGCAGTGCAAGTTGTTCAAATTGGGTGAATGAACACATGAAAAGCTTTGCCGTGCACAACTACTTGTGGTTGAACTGTCTTGTGCGCGTGTGGAAGAGACTACTTGGTACACACCTCAGTTAATTCCATGCCCACACACGTACACACGTACACACAAGCACAGGCACACGTGCACACGTACACGCAAGTACAGGCACACACACACACACGTACACACAAGCACAGGCACACATACACACGTACATACAAGCACAGGCACACGTGCACACGCACCGCGTTGTTGTCGAGGGAAGCCAGAGCAGAGAGGCGCTGCATGAACGACAGTGTCTCCTCCAATCGAGTGATGGCAATCTCATCGATGCCACCGCCATTGGCACGTAACGTGAGAGCACTGAGTGTCTCCCGCTCACACACGCGCAACTGCTCCTGCAGCGTCCAGTGCTCATTCGCGCTGAACGGATCATCACCACCACCGCCACCATCACCGTCGCCACCACCGTCGCCACCGTAAGGGCCGGCGACACTGCTACTGTTGTTGAGGAGCGCTTTCGCTTTGTCGAGCTGACCTTCATCAAACGCGCACAGCGCTTGTGCAAACTCTGCATCATGCGTGGTTCGCGTGAGGGTGTGCGCATATCCCTTCATCGCTTCGGCAGCGCGCCTGGCTGCCTCTGAAGCCGCCTGCACCACCGCGTCCTGCCCGTTTGCCAAAGTTTTGCTCTGTTGCTGGTGCTGCTGGTGCTGTCGAACGGCAACTTGCAGGTCTGAGATCAGCAGTGTGGTTGCCTCGTGCCTGGTCATGAAAAAATGTGGGATGCATGTGAGCAACAGACAAACGCCAAAGGCAGAAGTCAAAAGCGCAACAAAATCACACAGTTGAACATCACACAAAGTCAATCGCTCACAACTTCCCTGCTTCCGTAACAAACAAACAAACACACAAATAAATAAACAAACAAACAAACAAACAAACAAACAAACAAACAAACAAACAAAATAAATCAACAAACAAACAAACAAACAAATTCATAAACAAGCGAGCTCACCATGTGTTGATGCGCTCCCAGTCGGCGATGGCCTCTGCCAACGACAGCATTCGCTGCATCGTGTAGGAAAGCGTGCTTGGGCCTGCGTTTTCAACGGCCAAGCCAGGGGCGGCGGTGTGCAGACCAAGTGCCTGCAGGCACGCGAATGCACGAAGGCGGGCGGGGTCAAGCTGTGTCTGCCGTGCCATCGCCAGCCAACAGGCAAACACAACGCGGTCGTACTCTGCCAGTGCTTCGTCCACCTTTCCCGCTGCCTCCAGCTCGCACGGCAGCAGCCACGGCATCCAGGATCGCGACACCAACGCCTGCGCGAGTGTGGGCGGGGACATGGCCTTGACCCACATGCGAATGCCATGCAGGAGATGTGGCAGTCGCAGCTGCAGTGCAGCCGTCGCCAGGTACTGCACCGTCATCTCCAGTTGCAGCGCGTGCTTGGAGTGGGGTGCGTCTGCCATGCGCCCAATGTCTTGCAGCATGTGTTGCAAGCGCTCAACGCCGTGTGCAACCGTGGCACTCGCGTTGCCAATTGCGCTGCTTGCAACGAGCAGGCGTGCGCGCTGCTGCTTCAGCCAGGGCCGCGGGTCACGCTGCTTGGAGAGGAGGCGTATGCGTGTTGAGGGCTGAGCGGGCGGCAGGAGTGTACAGCCACCAAGCACGTTGCGAAGCTGTCGCTCCAGCGCATCAAACAGCGCAATCAGCTGCTGAACTGCGCGGTGACGCTGCGAGATGCGCTGCCCTTGTCGTTGTTGTTGCTGTTGTTGTTGTTGTTGTTGTTGTTGTTGTTGTTGTTGTTGTTGTTGTTGTTGTTGTTGTTGTTGTTGTTGTTGTTGTTGTTGTTTGAGGGCGGCGCGGCGAGCAACAACAGCATCATGCTCCAGAGCAGCCTTTGCCAGTTCTGTCAGCGCGTTGTCAAACGGCGCCAAGATGGACTTTACTTGCTGGCCGGTCGCCTGTGCCAATTGCGAATGCACAACATGCACCGCAACACTCAACAACGCCCAATGCTCAATGACATCCTGACTCAGGCTTGCGGTCGACAGCCACGTGTGCGCGCGCAAGCCGTGCTGTTGTTGCTGCTGGCGCTGCTGCTCTTCCTGCTGCTGTTGTTTTTGTTGTTGTTGTTGTGAGCCCGTGGTCTGTCGTGTTCCTACACGCTGAGCAGCATCATCCAAGCCTGCGTCACGAGTCGTGGCTGTCACCCCGGGTTGTCTTGCCGCAGCTTCGGATGGCAGTGCACCACCAGCTGTGACGATGACGGACGTGTGGTACCGGCGCTGCTGCTCGTCGTGGTCGTGCGGGTGCAGGCGACTGGTGGCAATCGTGCGAAAAAGACGGTTCAGCGTGTCGTGCTGCCCATCCAGCGTGAGCACATCACGCTGGCGGCCGCGGCCACCACGTCGCTCACCCCCACCGACCTCACCGCGAACACGCGCATGCGCCCCAGCACCGGCAGCGGGCTGTTGTCTGTGAGCCGTGGCGCTATCACCGCTGTGAGATGCAGCAGTCGCGCGTGATGTCGCTGCTGCTGTTGGCGCTGCTGTTGGCGCTGGTGGCAGCGAGGCGATAACGCGCGGTGATACGCCGGCGCGCGCGAGCACATCGCGCACGAGGGAGGCGTAGCTGTCACGCTGCCCAACCCACGAGTGCCCGCCTGGCGCAGACATGACGGCGAGGGAGAGGGTGCGGCGAGCAGCGGGGTGCATGGCAGCCGTCACGCTCTCGTTCAGGGCGGCGGCCACACCCACAGGGAGATCGCACACGACGCGCTGGGCCATGGCCTGCACGCTCTCGTCCACATCATGAAGGCGATCCAGGCACAGCAGCGCAAACGCCACGCCAAAGTCGAGTGGCAGCAGCCCGCTCGTGAAGAGGCTGTGGATGAGGGTGGTGCACCCAAGACGAACGCGGTGGTCGCCGCTGGTACACAGTGCGCGCAGTGGCAGATACAGACGTTGCAGCTCCGTTGCTGTCTGCAAGTCATGCAGCGACGGACAATCGTCCCTACTGAACGAATTGGCGCTGGCATCTGTCCTGGTTGTAGGTGAGGGCAGTGGCTGTTGCTGCTGTTGCTGCGGCGGTTGTTGCTGCTGCTGTTGTTGCTGCTGCAGTTGTTGTTGTTGTTGCTGCTGTTGTTGCTGCTGCAGTTGTTGTTGCTGTTGTTGTTGCTGCAGTTGTGGCTGCTGCTGCTGGCAAGCACGCACTTGAATGCAGAGCTTAGACAGCCAGAAGAGGCAGACGAGGTGGTGCTCTGGCGACAAGTGTGCCGCTTCAAGACAGGCACAGGCGCATGCAACGGCGCGCCGCAGCAATGGCAGATCACGCCCGTACCGGACGAAATATGCATTGCTCTTGCTCACTGCATACAATACCTGCAGCATAGCGTATGTCGCTTCCGGGAACACGCGGGATACCTTTGTTGCAACAGAGGTGTGTGTGTGTGTGTGTGTGAGTGTGTGTGTGTGTGTGAGTGTGTGTGTGTGAGTGTGAGTGTGTGTGTGTGTGGATGTGTGCACGCATGTGTGTGTGTGTGTGTGTGTGTGTGTGGATGTGTGCACGCATGTGTGTGAGTGTGTGCGTGCGCGTGTGAGTTGTGCGCTGCCGTGATTTCAGAACAGAGTTTCAGTAACCTCCAATGAAACGCCGCAATACACACCATGAACAAATGGCACCAGTGTGGCAACCAACCACCTTCCCACCTGCGTGTCTGCCACGTTGAGCTGGTCGACAAAGAGGGTCACGATGGATGCGACGAGCGCTGATGGGAGGGACGGCTGCTCGGCGAGAGGCAGCAGCGACAACGCGTCAAACACGACGGCAGTCAGCGCGTGGTTCACGCGCAATGTCTGCTGCTGTTGCGATCCGCGTGCGTGTGTGTTCTGCGTTGTACAGGCTGCACGCAGCAGTGCGTGTGCGCTGCACAAATCCTCCTTGACAAACTCGTACGCGCGCTGCTTGCACTCGTCGTTCCTGCTCGCAGTGGTGCAAAAACGGTGTGTATATGTATGTGTGTGTGTGTGCGCGCGCGCGCGCGTGTGTGTGTGTGTGTGTGTGTGTGTGTGTGTGTGTGTGTGTGTGTGTGTGTGTGTGTGTGTGTGTGTGTGTGTGCATGTGTGTGTGTGTGTGTGCCTGCATGCAAGCATGTCAATGGCCCCAGTGACGTACAGCTGGAAGCAGAGGCGGTGAATCCCCATCGTCGCCTCAACAACACGAGAATTCGTGTGGAAGCGAAACCTGCACAAAGACAATGTCAATTTGAGAGTGAAAGTGTCAGGAGGAGTGCGGCGACCACAGTGAAGCCAATTGGTCACAAGCACACACATAAAGAGAGAGAGAGAGAGAGAGAGAGAGAGAGAGAGAGAAGACAGACAGACAGACAGACAGAGAGGGAGCGAGAGGGAGAAAACAAGAGGCAGACAAGCAGCCACACACAGATACACAGACAGACAAACACACACACACAGATACACAGACAGACAAACACACACACACAGACAAATTCACACACACACACACAATACGCACACACAGCTCACGTTGGGAGCTTGGCGGATGGCCCGATGAGATCTGTGACAACGGCGGCGGTGACGGCGGTGCCGTTGCGCGACAGCACCTGGCCATGGAGACACAAATGGACACGAACATGATGGGGTGAAGATGAGCAACGTGACATGACAGGGGCAGCGTGGCAGAAGTTGGGGCCGTGGTAAATGCGGACAACCACACACAACACATGTCAGGTCCAGGTATGTGACACACAGCTGTGTACGTGCCTGTATGATGCGGGTGCACGTGTGTTGAATGGTGGTCGTCGTCAACGGTTCAACGGACAACGAGAAGAGCAGCGCCGACACAGCTGCGTGTGCGTGTGTTGTGTGTGTGTGTGTGTGTGTGTGTGTGTGTGTGTGTGTGTGTGTGTGTGTGTGTGTGTGTGTGTGTGTGTTTATGTTGTGTGTGAGGTATAAATCCAACGTTGTTCTCTGCAGGCAGTGGTGACGCATGCATTCACGTTCAGGAGAGACAACAGACATCATCGCAACACAACGACGCCTGGTACCATCATGAATGTGCTGCGTTGATGGTTGCTCAAGTGCACACGCAAGCAGCGCGGTGGCATCGCTGAACTGCTGCTGCAGCGATGATGGGACTGTGCGCACGCGCATAGCAGCAAGAAGTGGCGGCACAAAGCTGGGAAAGAGGTTCGTCAAAATGGCAAGTTGAGGAAGAGGGTGAGTGAGTTGATGCGTCATATGCGCGTCGGTGAATGGCATCATCAATTTGCAACCTGCACACACAAGCACACATACACATACACAAACAAACACGCACAAGCACACACACACACGTATACACGCACACACACGTATACACGCACACACACGTATACACACACACGGAAACACGCACATGCACAACACACACACACACGACGCAGCGCACTCACTTGTCAAAGAGGGTGAGCTTAATGTCCGCTGAAAGGTTGGATACGGATTCCTGCCCCAGTGACACAACAATGCACGCGATGCACCGCAGGCGGGACGTCAGATTCTGCCACTGCTGCTCAGCTTGCTGCTGCCGCTCATCGTGTTGTGGCGACACCGTGGCTTCGTCACTCCTGGCACCGTTCCCACCAGCGCCATCTGCGCTACCGTGGTGGTCGGCATCCGCGGTGCTGGCAGTCTTGGTCGGTCTCGCTGCCGTGTGCTGCGTGTCTTGAAGAAGGGCTTCCAGCAACCGCAGCGTGGTGGGCAACTGGGACGCCCACAGCACGTGCAGGCCGCCGAGAAACCGCTGCAGCAGCACCACCGCATTGCTCGGCAGGCTCGGCTCAGCCAGCCAGCCAACGGCAATGTCGGCAATATCCTGGTGTGCGTGTGTGTGTGTGTGTGTGTGTGTGTGTGTGTGTGTGTGTGTGTGTGTGTGTGTGTGCGTGTGTGTGTGTGTGTGTGAGTGTAGCAACGTGTGCGTGCGTACTTGTGTGAGTACGTGTGTGCGTGTCAGCCAAACAATTGAACCAGTCGTCCAACGAGCACGCAGAATGTAGAGGGATTCGCGCTGTCCTGGCTGTAGACAGGCATTGCTCACCTCAAAGTGGACGGCAAACGTGTGCGGGTAACCGTGGCTGATGAGCTGTAGACTTTGCAAGATGGGGCTGAGGCCCTGATGCGAGGGCAAGGCATCCAGCACGTGTCGAAGCGCATGCAGGGTATTGTCCATGAACGGGTGAAGGGAGAACCGGTCATTATCCGCATCCTGCGTCAGCGTCCACCCAAGAGCAAACAGCAATGGCACTTCGCCCTGCACATCCAGGTTCTCCCGCTGCAGGGTTGCGTGCAGCGTGTTGAAGAAGCGAGCAGCAGGGGCCTCTGGCGCGGTGCTGGCGACAAGCACGCCGAGACACTTGGCTGCCGCCATGCGAACGCTGCCATCGCGGCCACGTGCAGCTGTTGAAGATGTGGCGGGTCCTCGGTGGCTTGGGGACACAATGTTCAGCAGCGCGTGCACCATGCGCAGCCCAGACTGCAGCAGTTCTTCCTGCGAAGCTCTCAGCAGCAGGATCCGCAGCTCATCCAGTCGGGCGCACTCCTTGTGCGGGGACAAGGCTTCCCGGCCGTTGAGAGAGTCCAGCAAGCGCAGCATCACTGTCGCTGATGCGGGCTGAACCTGCGCTCCGGCACCACGGAATGGCGCACCACTCCTGCCACTGCCACCACTGCTGCTGCCGCTGCTGCTGCTGCTGCCACGACCTCCTCGGCCACCACGCCTGCTGCCACGACCTCCTCGGCCACCACGACCTGCTGTGGTTGGTGGTGCTGCATTTGCTGTCAATGAGGCAGGCTGTCGTTCGTCTTCTTCTCTCGTTTCGTTGCCACTTCCTCGCCCTCCCTTGCCTTTCCTTTGCCTCCTCCTTCGACCACCACTACCGCGACCACCACCACGACCACCACTGCTCTCGTCCATCGTATCTTCTCTCTGTCTTCGCTTGGTAGATAATTTTTAATGATACACGTCATATTTCCACAACGCTGCCTCGCGAACTTGCCGAGCTTGCACGCACTCAAGCGCTCTGCTTCTTGTCTTTCTTCAAGGACCCCAACAGCCCAGAGCCCAACACAGACACTTCTAACACTTCTCTGCCCTGCCTGATCTGATCCTCCGGATCCTTCGTCTCCCCAGCACAACGCCTTCTCTTCTTCCTTCCTTCCTGCTTAACGAACACCAAGCAACATGGCGCAACGGCCCGCGGCCTCAGCGTTGCTGGTGGTGGTGGTGATGGTGATCGCACTTGGTGGCGGCTGTGTCAGCGGCAAGCACATGGGCGTGATCTCGGCAGATGACCTGGGCAACATGCACATCAATGCCAGCGTTGATGGCGCACGCGTGCTTGTCTCTGGCATGGACGTGGTGGAGCAAGTGGCTTCCCTGCAAGCTTCCAACACGGCCCTGGAGCAAGACAACCAGCGACTGCAAGCCACCTTGGACAGCGTCGCCGCCAGCTATGCAGAGCTCGCCCGCCAGCACACGCAGCTCGCCAGGGCATTCTGGACCACGCAAAACTTCGGCCGTGGCTCTGCCTTCTCCACTTCCATGACACTCAGATTCATCAAGCAGTTCGCATCCACAGCATCAACCAGGGTACTGTCCGGCATCGTCACTGAGAGCGGTGCCGTTTACTTGGGAGGCTATGTCCGATTTCCTGCGAACGTGAGTGGTACCGGCGACCCCGTCACCTATGGCTTTCTGTCCCGCTTCAGCAGCGTTGATGGCTCCAGACTCTGGATGCAGACGTTTTCGCCGAACGGCGGCCTTGCTTTTATCACTAGTATCGCCGCTGATGACAGTGGTCGCGTCTACGCTGTAGGTGGCCGTGTCGCCTCCATCTCTACACACAGTGCATGGGACGGCCGTGAGCTGTGGCGCTACAACGTGACGTCGTCTCCGGTACTTCCGCTTTCATCTGCCCGGCTCGCCGTTAGCCGCGATGGGCGCACGGTGTACTCGGCTGTTTCGACGTTTGACAACGTCGTCATACTCGCTTTGGAAGGCGCAACAGGCACGCTAAAGTGGCAAAAGACATTGAACATTCCGAATGGGCGCGGCAGTTGTCTTGCAGAGGAGCGGCGATCTGCTTTTGCTGCTGTACCCTGGCAGCCAAGGAGGCAGTCTCTTTCGCCTGAGGCAAAGCGACGGCTCCGCAGTCTGGGTGCAATCTGTCAATGCTACCAGCGGACAGCTGTGGCGAGGACAGCCGCTCACGCTCGCGGCCGCTGACACCCCGTGCATGGGCCTCACCCTTCCTCTGCCCCCAGGCGACAACAACACCCCACCAACCTACATCCAATGCTTTGCTGCTGACACCGGTGCCATTGTTGGTGCCCAAATCCCGCTCCCAGCCAACTTTACCCTCTTTTCAGTGCTCTCCACGTGGGGCAACGACATCTTCGCCGTCGGCACTGCAACGGATGAGAGGCGTGTGCTTGACCACGACAGCATCGGTGGCGCGGACGTCGTGGCGATGCGTGTGCACATGCCCTCGGGATATGTCTATTGGAGCGAACAGCTTGGCAGCGCAGAGGACGAGCAACCGCCCTTCGCAGGCGTCGACGGCTCAGGCAGCCTGTACATCATGGGCAGCACAGGTGGCACCCTGCCGTCCACGGGCCTCCCACCACCAGATTCTTCTGATGCCTACCTCGTCAAGTACACGCCAGCCCATCTCCTTTGATTTGAGATGCAATGTGACGAGAACTGTTTGCGTGTGAAAGCCTTTCGAGGGCTAGAAGTCGTGTGCAGTTAGTTACATTACTCAAGCGTTTGCGCATGTGTGTGTTGTGTTGTGTGTGTGTTGTGTTGTGTTGTGTGTGTGTGTGTGTGTGTGTCCGACTGTAGCGGCTCAGGCTCAACTGTGTTAGATAGTAAGTGGTTGATGGTAGGAGTGACCGTGCTTGCATACACATCTTTGTGTCTGATGTTGCTGTTGATAGATTGTAGTTGGTTTTTTTTTTTGTTTTGTTTTTTCATTTCCTATGATAACATTCCAAGATTCCACCAGATCATGTCCAATTCCCTCCACTTCTCCTCACTGAAATCGTTGCTGTAATTGCCAATAGCGTTGTGCGACACTGCTGTCACGCTGCGCCTGACTGCGGGCCGGACTGCCAGCAATCGGCTTTGCAGTTGCACAGCCGTGACGAAATGATTGATGCAACATGATGATGATGGGTCGATGAATTAGAAAAAGAACATGCAATCTGGATGATAGTGATAATGGAGAGAAGCTCGATAGACAAAAGCACACTCATCACAGCATCACAGGCGACTCCCGTGTGCCACATGCAGGAAACATCATCCACCACAAATCGGCACTTGTCTGCAGGCACCACAGTCCAGTTTTTGCTCTGCCTGTCAGTGTGTGTGTGTGTGTGTGTGTGTGTGTGTGTCTGTGTCTGTGTGTGTGTGTCTGTGTGTCTGTGTGTCTGTGTGTCTGTGCGTGCGTGCGTGCGTGCGTGTGTGTGTGTGTGTGTGTGTGTGTGTGTGTGTGTGTTGCATCTCATCGTGCAATTTCTTCCACCTCCTTCCACCTCTGTCCACCTCTTTCCACTGTTGAAGGCGTGCACTTTCACTTTATGCAAATCACACACGCTGCACACCACGCAAGCAAGCAATCAAGTCCATCCATCCAATCCATCAATCAATCCCCTCTTCGCCCCACACTTGCTTGCACCACCCATCAAGAGTCCGCTTACCGCCTTCTTCTTCTTTCGCGTTGGCGCTGTGTGGCGCGCATGAGCTGTTTGGCCGCCTGCACACCCGTGAGGTATGCGCCGTGTGTTGTGCCGGGAAAGTCAGGGGACGTCGCTTCTCCTGCAAAGAACAGCCGAGATGCAACAGGGCTCTGCAAGTGCTGGCGGTGCTCCAGCTGTGCACCGGGCTGCATGTGGCTGTACGAGCCGAGGCTGAACGGGTCACGATGCCATCGCGACACCAGCACGTGCTCTGGATCGGGCACACGTGTTGTCGTCGTTGTTGCCGTTACTGATGCTGCCGTTGTTGTTGCCGTTGCTGATGTAGTCGATGGTGTCGTTGTTGCCGTTGGCGCCGTTGTTGCAGTCGTCGATGTTGCCGTTGCATCTGCAGCCCTGGAGGCTGATGGTGTGCGCGAGGAGCGGCACTTGCTGTGGACGAGACGGCGAAGGTTGGCGAGGGCGTGCTGCGCCAGCTCGTCGTCGCTGCGGTCTTCACAATCACGCGCAAAGGAGCCTGCGTTGAACGCCAGCAGCGCGTTGCCAGATGCAATGTCGGGGAAGTAGAACCACTGCGAAAACTCGCCGGGCGGGTCGCTCAGGTACACCAGCATGTGCTTGTCTGTGTCCCAAAAGGGGAAGGGAAACACAAGCCAGACCTTGTTGAGGATGCCGCTGCCCAAGTTGGCGATGGCACGCTGCTTGTCTGCTGGAAGCGGCGGGTCAAACGCCACTGTGTTGGCGCGCAGCACCCCAATTGGCAGCGTCACCACGATGCGATCGGCCTCAAACCATCGCCCGTCCTGCGTCTCCACGCACACAGCTGCGGATTTTCGTTTGCCGCCCTCTACCGCCACCCTACTGCCTTGTCCCTGCACCTGCGCTCGCTCCACACCCTCTTGCGTCACACCAGCGTGCGTTGCCACCGCTTGTGTTGCCACCGCTTGCTCTCCAGTGGCGCCACCACGTTGGGCGTCACCGGCACTGTTACTCGGCTTGTGCGCTGCGCCGGGCATGCGGTCACTGTCCATGCCACGCTTTTCGCTGCGCGCGACGTCGATAATCTTGGTGACGGTGGTGTTGAGGTGGATACAGGGCAGCGCCTTTGCTAGGTGTGTTGTGAGCTGATCAAAGCCGTCTGGAAACACGACTTCGGGCTCCGGCAGGTCGTCGCCTTCCCAGGGCTGCTGTGCAGACAGGCACGCCATGTCGGCCGCAAAGTCGTGCTCAATGTAGGAGTTGACGGCGTGCAGCACGCGCTCCCAGGATCCGAGGAACGCCAGCTTCCCCCTGGACCACAAGTCGCGCACGACATCGAGCAGGTTGCCGGTCGATCGGCGCTTCGCTGCCTTGCCACACTGCTTGGTGACAACGTCCACGAGCCGCTGCAGATCACGCGCAGTCATGCTGGCTCTGGTGCCGTCTCGCTCGTACGCTGCGAATCTGTCATAGTCTGTCTCGCTAGTGCGGGCGCCGATGGCTTGTGCCAGCTCATAGAGCGGGTTCCCCTTGATGCCGTGCAGCCAGCTTGCGCCCATGTCCAGTGGAATGCCTGTGCTCCGATCCGTCCACACGCGGCCACCTACACGGTCTCGGCCCTCCACCACCACCACCTCATACCCAGCCTCATGCAGCTGTGTCGCTGCAGCCAGCCCAGCCAGGCCCGCGCCCACAACGATCACGCGCTCGCCCATGTGCCCGTGTGCCCATGTGCGATCAGAGAGGGGGGGGGGGGGGTTGTGTTGTTGGTGTCAGGTCGTTGAGAAACACAAACAACGCAGCTGCCGCCGAAAACTGTTGGGTGACACGACAAATCGCCCAAACTTCAACGCAGCGGACGATGGTGTGGAGTTGGTGGTTGGTGGCAGCGGTGGTTGCTGCTGGGGTGTGCTTGCGCGCCCTTGTGGGCTTGGGCGGCCACTCTGGGTTTGGCAACCCGCCCATGCACGGTGACTTTGAGGCACAGCGCCACTGGATGGAGGTACGCTGTGCTTGTGTGTGCGTGAATGTGTGTGCTTGTGTATGCGTGAATGTGTGTGTGTGTGTGTGCTTGTGTGTGTGTGTGTGTGTGCTTGCGTGAGTGTACGATGCTTTGTGGGTGTGCACGATGCTTTGTGGGTGTGCGCGATTTATTGTGTGTATGCAGATGAGAGTACGGCCAACCACACGCACACACACACACACACACGCACGCACGCACGCACACACACACACACACACACACTCACACGCACACACACACACGCACACACACGCACACTTGTGTGCAGATTACATACCACACGCCAGTAAAGGAGTGGTACTTCAACACGACAAACAACGACCTGCAGTATTGGGGGTTGGATTACCCACCACTGACTGCGTACCACAGCTGGGTCTGCGGATGGCTCGCGCACAATGTCCTCAACCCGACGTGGGTGGCATTGCACGCCTCACGTGGCGCGGAATCTGGGGAGGTCCGCCTCTTCATGCGCAGCATGGCCTTGCTGGCGGATGTTCTCGTGTTCCTCCCCGCGGCTGTCGCGTACGCAAAGGTGGCTTTTGTTCAGCGCCAGTCAGAACAGAAGCGACGCAGCGCCGGCTTGGCAGTAGCAACAGCAACAGCAGCAGGGGATGCCATGGGCGTCCTGGCGGCCCTCGTCTTCAACCCATGCTTTGTCTTGATTGACCACGGCCACTTCCAGTTCAACGCCATCAGCCTTGGGCTGGCGCTGTGGGCGGTCGTCTGCGTGCGCACTGGGCGCCACCTTCTGGGCAGTGCCCTGTTTGTGCTGAGCATCTGCTACAAGCAGATGTCCCTGTATTACGCGCCAGTGTTCTTCTTCAACCTGCTTGGGTCGTCATTCCAAGCACAGGGCAGACAAGGATGGCTCACCTGGTTCTTCAGCAGCTGCTGCCGGGTTGCACTCATTGGTTTCGTTGTCGTTGCCTCCTTTGCCATCTGCTTCCTTCCTTTCATCTTCGACTGGACGCAGTTCTCTCAAGGTGTGTTCGGGGGGTTGGGAAAGGAGGGTGTGTGTGTGTGTGTTTGTGTGTTTGTGTATGTTTGTGTGTGTGTGTGTGTGTGTGTGTTGTTGTGTGTGTGTGTGTGTGTGTGTGCATTTTCGAACTGTGACACTTGCAATAGTCCACATATAGTCATTTCTACCAATCCTCCCAGGAAGTAGTTCATATGCTGGAGTTAAGCCTCTGCTAAAGTTAAGATAGGGAGCTCCTTGATTACATCATATGATAATAGCTTAAGCCGCTGAGGCGGGGCGCAGCATACCCAACAGGTGTGTGTGTGTGTGTTGTTGTGTTGTTGTTGTTTGTGTGTGTGTGTGTGTGTGTGTGTTTGTGTGTGTGTGTGTGTGTGTGTGTATGTTTGTGTATGTTTGTGTGTGTTTGTGTGTTTGTGTGTGTGTGGATAGATGTGTGCGTGTGTGCGTGTGTGCATTTGCACGTGTGCGTGTGTACATGAGTCCGGTGTGACTGCAACTCTATTGTCTCATGGCACCCTCCACATCTGCT